AGCAACATACTTAACTATGAAAATATATGTAAGATGGCGAATTATTGTATTACATCGAAACAGGGGGAGCTTCATTGAAACATGAGAAATAACGTACTACGACTTTAAATTTTTTGCAATCTGTTTCAGATGATATTCGCTCACTTCATAAACTATAGAAGATCTACTTTTTAAACTGGTATTCCATTAAAAGATCATCTAGATAACGTCTTTGATATTTGTTGATACTCTTTAAAAGGGGACATCTCTGCAAAATATATTCTCTATGAAAAATCTTCACTTTGCAGATTTTTGTTAATAGCACTTACACATTCAAAATATTTGGCTCACATCTTCAGGATAGTTTTGTTATCATCAAAAAGAGGGAGATTGTTACATCCCCAAATGAATTTTGATGATACCCAAACTATCCTTTGTATAATATCTATATTGTTTAAGTGCAGATATATTCAAGGGACTAAGTGATATTCATGGTCTAAAATCACTGAAGAGAAGATCACAAGACTATCCTTGAAGGATCATATAAATAGTACCATAGATTTCACAGATCAGCTAAATGACGATGTCTTGTTCAACCTGAAGAAATCTAGTAATTGGCGATGTTTTAGTAACGATTTATTTGATATAACTGTTATGTCACTATGGTAGCCGTTGGGATTGGACAGGCACAGCAGAAGATCCGGCAAAAAGGAAAATAGTCATTCTAACAGATAGTCAGTATCGCAGCTACAGTAAAATAGCAAAAACTATTTCGGAAAAGTTTGCAGAAGTTCAAGAATAGGCTGTATGGGCAGTCAGTCTCAAGAACAGTAGTTCCAACGATTCTAACGGTTACTTTTCCTTTCCATGACATCAGCAATGACTAGTTTGAAGATGCCTATAAAAGAAAAGGTCTTTGAGGCTGACAATGTTAGAGAGAGAGTGTGTGTGCTTACAAGAATTCTGAAATCTCTTACTTGATGTGTACTAAGCAAAGAACTCCTACTTTATCGATAGCACTTGCTGCATTGTAATTGTGTTGAAGTTTCAAGTGTATCAAGTAATAGCAACATCCACCTCCTGGTAGTATGATTTACGAATAGATAGGAGTGGTGCTTGCTGAGTATAATTTGATAGCAAATTACTAATGCAATCTAGCCTAACTTGTGGCTATTAGTGCTGAGAGTGGACGTAGGCTTAGGAATAAAATTGAACCATTATATATCTTTGTGTGCAGCTACTTATACTTCTGTTCATCATCTCTAGCACACAAGTGATACATTATGTCTCATACATTTGGTGTTTTACAATATCTCCTTGTTACATGCTGTTTTCCGCAAAAATTGTAATATCTTTCAAAGCAACCTATTCACCCCCTTTAGGTTGCATAGTTAATCCCAACATTTTAGTCATGTACAAACATTTTCATTAGTAAATGGAATATGAAAAGGCAAGATTAGACTAAGTCATGGAATGATCCCTTTTAAGGTCATATACTCTTTGCATTTTATTTTCTTGATAGGTGATTACGAGCCGTCCGACTTAGTGAATAATTAGAAAATGGCGCGCCCCATTACCACTATCAACGCCTCAGCCTGGTGGTATGGGGAATGAAAAGATTTGAGAATAACCGGGGTTCGACCCCCGAAGACGGCATTGTAAAAAAATAAATAAATTTTTTTGCATCTCTTATTTTTGTAAGAAGAGGAAAATACTTGACCAAATGCAACTAAAGCAAATAAATTGTCACAACATTGGTCTTGAGAGTCCAAATTGCTCAAATGCTTATAAAATTCAAAAGAAATTGACCCAAAAAGTGTAGAACCTCAGCCTCTCAAGCCTTAGGGCTATAGATTCATTCAGTCATTTGTCGCCAAATGGCAAAACCAATGAAGGGTAACATTGTATTGATTCCCATTTGCCCTTCTCAATCTCTTTCCTAGCATATTCAATCTTTATTCTTAATAGGAAATGTCAATCACCCAAAAGATGAATTCAAGTGGAGGGTATTGCTGTATTGTTTCCGGTCTTTAAATCTAGGATGGATTCATGGCACTAACACATTCCTTTCTTTTCTTTACAAGGTTGCCTAGTTGGAAGAATTTTCCGAAAAGGCATCGTCAAGAACTCGAACGACAGGTAACTATGGGTCGTCTGCATTCACTAATACGAACCTGCTCAAGAGCTAAAGCAAAAAAATGGCTGAAGAGGATATGCTAACCCATGTGGCGGACATAGAGAACGAAATGAAGCAAGTCTTCACCTTTCTTCAATAAATCTGCAAACAAGTGGAATATCTGTCAGTCCGCTTGAACCAACTCACCATGACTTCGCTTCTTCCTCCAAGACCAGGGATCATGATTCAAATGGAGCCATCCAGTATCAACCCCAAAGAGCCATAGGGGATGCTGAACATTTTTCAATTCCATGATGGACGGCACCTCGTTCTCTGCAAGGAAGTCATGGACAAATCAAGAAAAGATCACCCCTTTTAAAATAAAAAAAGGCATGTATTATTCCTTAACAAATTTTGAAAATGACATTCTCTCCCTTTTCTCACACAGACGACAACTGAGAAGTATGCTAGACTTTGATGTGCTAGTGAGCTTGATGTAGCACAAATGTTGAGACCACTACGAGGGAATTCTAAAAGGATGTATCTCATTCCTTGTCTTAGCCCAATCCGTGCAAAAAACTAATATGTTTCTTCCTTAATGTGCAAAGAGCACTTACTTTGGAAAGTAGACTAGGGGGCATGGAATGACGAAATCCCGCAATTCAGCAAAAAGGATGTATTTTGTTCCCAAAGTTCATCTACTTTAGCATAAAAATGACATGTCTTTTTCTTTTGTATAGGACAAAAGGTCTAGCAAAAGTGTGGAGGGGCAACGTGCGTCAAAATCATCCGACTAAACACAAACTGCATTTGATCAAGGCAACACCTCACCAAGAAAACACACAGGGATCGAGTCATCAAATTTACCGTGAAAAGGTGTATACCATTCCTAAATTGAGTCCAATTGAGATTAGGAACAACATGTTTCATTTCTTTTCCGCAAATGAGGAGTGCTGCAAGTCACTAAAAGAACAATGACCACCACCCATGAAACATGATGAAATAAAATCCATCGACTCTACCAAAAACAAGGGAGTGTGTTTGACCATTAGGACAACTCGCAACTGAGAAAACATGCTCATAACCCCTTATGTTTTTCTCCTTCGTCTACTCTGTGTTCTAGACATAATCTCGTGACTTGCGAGGGAGTAGTACAATCTAGTCAGATGCCGTAGACACCAATAAGAGCGATTCTGACGATTCAAGTGATGATCTCACTGTAATACAAAGAAGTTAGGAACAACATGAACAAATCAAGCCCCTTACAACCGAGGATACCGTCACCATCGATTTGAGTGGCACGGATAATCCAAAAGAAGTGAAGATCGGGACCAACCTCCCCGAGGAGAAGGCCACACACCTGATCGCTCTCCTCAGAAACTATCAAGATGTCTTCGCATGGTCTTATACTGATATGCCAGGCCTAGACCCTCGAATTGTCGAGCACAGTTTGCCCACCAATCCCAACATGCCTCCTAAAAAGCAAAGGTTATGAAGAAACAAACCCGAGCTGTCGAAAAAGATCGAAAAGGAGGTGATGAAGCTCTTGAAAGTAAGGTTCATCGAAGTTTCATAGTACCCTGATTGGGTAGTGAACGTTGTGCTAGTTAAGAAGAAAGATGGTAGAATTCGAGTTTGTGTCAATTATCGTAACTTGAACAAAGCCAGTTCGAAAGATGATTTCTCGCTCCCTCATATAGATGTCCTTATGGATAGCATTGCTGGATTCGAACTATTCTATTTCATGAATGGATTCTCCTGATACAACTAGATAATGATGAACGACAAAGATAAGGAGAAGATAGCGTTCATCACTCTACAACGAGCATTTCACTACAGAGTCATGCTTTTCAGTTTAAAGAATGTCGGGGCAACATACCAACGTACCATAATCACTCTTTTCCATGACATGATGCATAAAGAAATTGAAGTCTATGTCAATGACATGATCGCCAAGACTAGATGCAAAGAAGACCACGTTGAAACTCTGAAGTAGCTATTCAACTAGCTCCGCGAGTTTAAATTACGCCTGAACCCGCAAAGTGCGTGTTCGGAACAACCTTTGGTAAATTACTCAGATTCATCGTGAGTAGCAAAGGGATTGAGGTAGACCCCTTGAAAGTCAAAGCAATATAGAGCTACAGCCCCACATCCACAGTGAAAGAAGTCAGAAGCCTTTTGGGAAGGTTGAACTACATCACACGGTTCATCTCCCAACTCTTCGAGACTGCACGACCCTTCTTCAAACTTCACAGGAAGGATGCTCAGATCAGTTGGGATGAAGACTATCGGGAAGCGTTCGAAAAAATGAAGCAGTATTTGATGAATCCCCTAGTCCTAGTTCCACCAATCCTAGGACATCCTCTAACTCTTTATCTCACAATCCACAATGAATCATTGAGAGCCTTGTTAGCCTAGAAGAACCCCTGTGATGGAAAAGAACGGGCCATCTATTATTTGAGTAAGAAATTTACCATCTCGGAACATAATTATTCTGAATCAGAAAAGATGTGTGCCGCGTAACTGAAAATGACCCCAAACATTTCTTGTAACTGAAAACGACCCCATCCGGTATTTGCTTAATGACCGGCTCTGGTAGATAGTAATTTTGGAATTCGACATCCAAACATTGTCGCAAAAATTAGTAAAAGGCCGAGTGATCGCTGATATGCTAGCCGAATGCCTTAGAGAAACACATGATGATGATCTCCCGGATGATCTCATTTCATCGGCAGAAGAACATACGTGGACCGTGTTCTTCAATGGAGCAGTAAACTTGTCTGGTTTTGGCACCGGGGCAGTCCTGATATCCCCAGATTGGTAACATTATCCCGTAGCCGCAAAATTGGTATTCCCTTGCACCAACAATATAGTTGAGTCTTAAACATGTATTCTTGGTCCGCAAATGGCTATTGACATGAAAATAACCAAACTAAAAGTGTTTGGTGATTCTACCTTAATCATCCTCCAGACTGTGGATGAATGGAAGACTAGGGATGCTAAGCTAATACCCTATCATGACTATTTGGAAGAATTGGTGACAGAATTCAACGAGATCTCGTTCGACTACCTATCTAGATATCATAACCAATTTGACGATGCACTGGCCACGCTATCATCCATGTTGCAGGTCACCAATAGGCTGGAAATAGAACCTTTGAAGATTGAAGTCCTGACCAGACCGGCCTATTGCATGGCCTTGATTGAGGAACCCGATGGTAAATGATGGTATTACGATATCATGAACTATATCAAGGAGCAGCAGTTCCCTGAATGGAGTACACCTGCGGACACGAGGTACATAATGAAGATGGCGACAAAGTTTTTCGTTAGTGGTGGGGACCTGTACAAGAGGTCCCATGATTCTATCCTGGTGGGGACCTGTACAAGAGGTCCCATGATTCTATCCTGCTGAAATGTATGGACGCGACTGAAGCAACGCGAATTATGTGAGAATTACATGAAGGAGTATGCGATCCACACATAAATGGACACATGCTGGCCAAGAAAATAACAAGACTAGGTTATAACTGGCTTCCCCTAGAAAGAGATTATATTCAACATGTTCAAAATTTTCACTGTTGTGAGATCCACGGAGATAGGATAAATGCCTCGCCAACTGAATTACATCAGTTGTTTGAGCCATGGCCATTTTCAATGTGGGGCATCGATGTGATCGACCTAATTAATCCAAAAGCATCAAACGGACACCGGTTCATCTTGGTTGCGATTGATTACTTCTCTAAGTGGATCGAAGCCACATCATATACCAACATCACCGCTCAAAATGTGGTGAAGTTCATCAGGCATGACATAATTGCCCGCTATGGCATCCCCTAGGCCAATGTTACGGATAACGAGACCAATATGAACAACAAGCTTATTGATGATTTATTCAGTGAATTCAAGATCCATCATCTGAATTCGTCTCCTTACCATCCCCAAATGAACGGAGCCGTCGAGGCGTCCAACAAAAACATTAAGAAGATCTTAGCCAAAACTACTAAGAATTACCAAGATTGGCATAAAGATTGCTTTTGCATTAATAGAGTATCGAACATCAATTCGGATTTCCACCGGGGCAACCCCTTTTTCCTTGGTGTACGGCATGGAAGCAGTCTTGCCTGTAGAGCTAAAAATCCCCTCGCTGCGAATATTATCCCAAGTAAAAATGTAGAGTGGAAGTTGCAAAGGCTCGAGCAGTTGAACATAATTGACGAAATGCGACTGAAGGCTCTTTTATCATGGCCAATGCTATTAACAAAGGGTAGCCAAGTCATTCAATCGGAAGGTATGCCCGAGACACTTTGAGACAGGCGATCTGGTCCTGAGGAAGGTACTACCACTATTCCTCAAGCTTGGAGGTAAGTTCGCTCCGAATTACAAGGGTCCTTATGTCGTGAGAAAGGCACTCCCTAAAGGGGCTTTGATTTTGACTGAGATGGATGGACATCAATTCTCTAACCCGATCAACTCCGATGCCGTGAAAAAGTATTATCTTTGAAATAATTTCTATATTCTTGTCAATAACAAGGGAATTGACAGAAAAGTTATTGATAAAGGTGCCCCTAGTGGCAAGTTTAACTAGAAAGGACTTTGCATATGACAACATGGCGTCGATGCTAATCCTGACAATCATGGAAGTCACGACGGTAGTCATCGAAAATGATTACAATGCCCATATCAATCAAAGACATTTGAAGTCAAGATTAGCTTTGCTGTGAAGATCCCCATGCAAGCAATTGTACATGCCTTACGCAGTTGAGAATCAGAGAATTCCTGAGAAGTTCCTCAATGTGCCGAAACTGAATTGACACAACATACGTCGAGAATAGGACCGCCTAGTTGGGAGCACCTTTAGCTATAAAGGATTTCATTCGAGCTTTATGACTAACGAGGGAGGGGTTTCAAAAGAAAGGACTATGCTAGCTTTGAAGACAAAATGGAGGAAGGGTAATTTAGTATCATTCTCAATTTACCCTCGATCATTTCATTGCTAACATAAGCTCATGCTATTCTCAATAGGAATTGTCAACATTCGAGAAAAGCTCAAGGAGTCATTAGCTTAAACTCAAATGAAGGGAGATATCAAGGGTAATGTTGTATCGTTCCCAGTTTACGTCCCTCAAAGAGCCGTTCATTAACATGGTCTCTCTTATTACCTTGCAGGTTTGCCTCGCCATTACAACATAGGTAAGTATCTTTTTCCTTTAAAAACTCTTTTCATAAAAGGAGGAAAAAATCAAAGAAAGAGGAAACAATTTAAAGCGAAAAGATGTTTAATCCTCTCCCAAATGCATTACATGACTATTGGAAAGGAATTCTGTACGGTAATTTTACCTGTTTAATTCACCAATTTCATGTGAAAATTTGTCAAAATGACAATTCGACGAATGGTGTCGAACTGCTCGGGTATGCTAAACGAGATGTGTTGGGATGATATAAGGCAATCCTCAATCTATACACTGTCCCATATACTTATCCCCGGAGAGACACGTGAAATGATTCCATGTCTACAGGGTAAAGTAATTTCTCGCATAAGGTATGGTAGCCAAAATAATGAGAAGCAGTTCATTTCTCTACCCCATACACTACCGGCGTTCCTTTAATTAACCATTTTGAGCCCATACACTTGGAGGTTCCTTTCAAATTATCCCCATCAAGAACCACCCTACACTGGAGTAACTGGAGGTAAGTCGACATCGCAAGGTGAGAAAAATGAATAGAAATTTTCTTGCTATCACTTGTATCAATCTTTGAGTGCTATTATTGCATATGAACTCTCACGATGATTTAAGTGCCCTAGGATGACGAAGAGCAGTTCTTCTTCTATCCCATACACTTATATCCCTTGTTAGCTCAATTGAGCCAGTGATTTTGTTTCGTACGAACTGAGTTGGTGATCATTCCCCACACAAAGGCAAGGCAAGGCAAAGATCATCACAGTTCGAGCATCATGGTCCAAAATGCCGAATAAAGATGAAGACCCCAAGAGCCTAATAATATTATTTTGTTCAAACTTATCTAGGTTAGTTCTTAACAACGCCAAAGAACAGCAAAAAATGATGAAATAAATTAATGAAAATTAAGGGCGTGAAAAAGCAGTGTGTCGATAAAAATAAGGCCAACGCTCATAAAAAAAATTGAAAACTAGGAACATAAAAAAGCAGTGTGCCTGGTAAAAATAAGGCCGATGTCCATAGACAAAAAGTGATCAAAAAGTGAATTTCGACTGTAAAGGAATTTGTATCCCCTGGCAAATTTGTAATTGTTGGACAAAAGTCCAAGAAGCCAAATCGTGAAATTACCCTACAGAGCTTTCAAAGAGGATCCTAATGGTAAAGAAAAAGATCGGTAACAATGCCAAGATGATCATCAATTCTCACCCCTTATACACATATTTTTTAGCCCAACAATCCTTTTGTTTTTCAACCTATGAATCGAGCCTACGTTACGTCCCTCATAAAGTCTTTTCTGACTGGGACATCTGAATTAATGTGGAGTTTCAAATGTTTATAAACATTGCTCGAGAAAATGCGAACAAGACTACTTTTATCTCATTTTGTAGGGTTCTTGACTTGTAAATCTGGAGATGATTGCGGAATATTTTCTTTCATGGCCTTAACTCGGACAGTCTCCTTTGTTAAGCCATTGACCAAGCCTATATTACGATCCTGATAAAGACCTCTTAGATTGACAAAATCATACCGCTTGTGAGAAAACTTAGACCTTTGCTGATGTGACGATGGTCAAATTGAGTGTTCTCAATGTTCCCATATTAATGATTCGGACAAACAACCTTTTTCAATGAGAGCGAGTAGAAAGTCCTTTCTGACCTCATTCAGCATCTTGATAAGTCCACCTTACGAGCGAAAATTGTCTCAATTGATAATTACCCTCGGTGGATATTTAGTGATGCAAACATAACAAAATCATCTTGCATAAGCTTTCAAAATGCGCATCATGGAATAGCCCGATTTGTCTATATCCTTGATGAATGCATACATATTTGCTCTAATCGTCTCTGACATGTAAAATGTCCTCAAAGACTCAAAGAGCACTTGACGTCCAAGTTGTCTCCAAAAATGTCCCAAAAACTCTCAAATGTTCTTCCCCTTCAATGGACGCGGCGTGCCCTGACAACCTAGAGTCCCTTTTTTTCATGGACACTGCTTATACAACTTAAAGTCCCCTTCAATGGACGTGGCGTGCCCCAGCAGCCTGGAGTCCCCCTTTTTCATGGACACTGCTTTTGCAGCTTAAAGTCCTCTTCATCGGACACGGCGTACCCCGGCTTTAACGACCTGGTCCAACGAAAATGGGGAGTGGTCGCCGGGGCTAGAGGGCCTAGACAAGGAGCGGCTCCTGATAGGCTTCTAGGATGGCGAAGGGGACAGGAATGAATCGAACTGTGCACCGAACAAGGAGAAAACGATCCTAAGATATATATGTGAAAACTGGAATTAACTCACGGAAGCGCCTTTTGACATAACAACAAGCTTTGCTTTGGAACTCCAAAGTTAAGCGAGCCCAGGGTAGAACACTACTAGGATGGGTGACCTCCTAGGAAAGTGCCTGTCTGTACGCCAAAGGACAAAACCGTGAGGCTCGGTATGGGACAGGCCAAATCGGACAATACCTCAAGTGAGTTAAGTCTAGTGTGTCACACCGGCGGCCTAGAATCCCTCTAACGGGATCAACACGGCATACTTTTGTAGCCAGAGTCCCCTCATTAACCTAACCTCTTTTCGTGACTCAGAGTTCCTTCTTATTCTCCAATGAAGTATCCAAAAATGAAGTTCAGATACCAAACTAGCGCTCCTGTTCCCCAAGTAGAATTGACACGGCTTGCTTTTGTGTCCCAGAGTCTATCTTACTCCCAAGTGGTACGTCACGAAAATTCAGGCACTGAAAAAGCCATCTTTACCATCCCTAGAGATGTGTCCCAAGAAACGTCGATTATTCAACAAATGAATCATCAAATCCTCGAGCGATGACCCCCAAGGTGCTCAAGACCTGCTGGCAAGAATCCACCAGGGAAACATCAAATTCTCGAGCGATGACCTCCAAGTGCTCAAGACCTGCTAGTGAGGACCCGTCACACAAATCATCAAATCTTAGGGTGAGGACCCCTAGGTGCTCATAAAACCTACTGGCAAGGACCTGTCAGACAAATCATCAAATTCTCAGACGAGAACCCCCAAGTACTCATTGTTCGAGTCTTTT